CTACCCGGGGTGCCCGAGGCCAACTGGGAATAGCCGGGGGGGCTGTCCGTGTGCAACCCGAAGCCTTGTCCAGGAGAACGGGTTACACTATGTATTTCAATATTCTGGCGGCGGCGGCGGCGTCGTCGTCGACGTCGCGGGATGTCCCCCCACTGGGGATGGAGAGCTAAGTGCGGCCTTCGGGTTGGGTTGGGGTGGTCTGGTGGGTAGACAGTCGCAGGTCGTCAGATGCCCTCGGAAGCTGTCCTTGATTTTCGAAGCTTCCTCGCGTCGGAATGCGTGCTAGCCGAGAGCAATCGGGGGTTGGCCACGCTCGTCCTGAACGGCCGCGGCCCGAAAGCCAACGTCGAGTCGTGGAAACAATCATGAACGGCAAGGCCTTGCCTGACTCCCGGCTTCGGGGGGCCATTATTTCAGGGCCCCGGGACCGTCTCAAAACGGCTAAAGCTGAACCAGGAGGTCCAAACCTCTGACGTGTGGGTTTGCAAGGGCCAAACGAAACGAAACGGCCAACGAACCTATCTCGCCTTTGCGCAACACCGCTTCCAACCGGGAACCACGAGATACCAGGCTACCCGTGGGGTGGCCCGCAACGGCCAGACTGGTTGACGAGGAGGCGCGTGGTATGACTTGGTGTTGCCTGGAAGCGAAAGCATGGCAGGTGATTAATTCACCGTCTGGAAGGACAGGCACGAGGGAGACAGACGGGGTCAGCGGCCTTCGGCGCGGACGTGGCGGGCGGCGCTAAGCGGGTGTCGCACGGCGTCGGGGGCTTGGGGGGCAGGGGGCTGGGGCATCGCTGAAGGAAGCCAAAAGGGCAGACATGATGGTAACGTCAACTAACCACCTCGGCGGTTCTGGCTGGGCCCCATCCTGGTCGCAGGATCGGTGTATCTTCTCTTGTCCTCTTGGCTTGGACAGGAAGGCGTAGTAGACACAGGCACGTGGTCCAGCATCGGCCCGAGCAGGATCGGCCAGGTGGCCAGTTGACATCCCCCGAAGCACTGCGAGGCTCCAAAAGGCAGGCACGAGGGTGAGAGACCAGAGGGGCCGGGGGGGGTCTTCAGGGGCTGCGTCAAGCCTGGTGTCCAACGGCGCGGACTGGCGTCGGCGCGGGGCGGTGCCGAAAGGGAATGGGGGGGGCAGCACTGGGTGAACCCGGATGCCCTCGCATCGCGAACAGGCTTTTCTATAGGCATTTCTATAGGACTACCACGAAATGCTCTTAGAGCCCGAAAATATTAAAACAAGACAGTCCCGGCCAGACATGTTCTAAGAACATTTCGTGGAAGCCACACCAGGTTCTTAGAACATTGTTTGGTAGGCCTATGGGCACGCCAGAACGCTTCGCCACTGCTTGACACAGGGAAGGTACGAGGGTGACAAACGGGGTCTGGTGGACGGCGGGCGATGAAGAGGGGCTGCGTCCTGACCCAGAGCGGGCACAGCGGCGTGCGTGGTGGCTCCCGCAGGCGGCCCCTCCTCAAGCCTACGACGTCGTGGACAGTGGATGTCACGACCCATTCCCACCCCAACGGGACCGGCTTTTTTGAAGGGGCCCAGGGACACACAAAAAAATAGACACGAATAACAGGATTCCCCATAGTTTCCGATACCTATACGGCCACCCTGCGGGTCATAAGGAGGTGTTTTGGGGGGGGGCAGCAGTGGGCAACAGTGATGATTGTTGCGTTGCCGCTCGGTTTTGGGACCATCGATCCCACTATCGATCTCACTCGATCGATCTCACTATCGATTTCACTCGATCGATGCCACTGTCGATCTCACTCTGGATCTCGCTATCGATCCCACTATCGATCTCCCTATCGATATCGCTCGATCTCAGAATCGATATCACTATTCATCTCACTATCGATATCACTATCGATCTCACGATCGATCTCCCTGTCGATCTCACCATCGATCTCACTATCGATCTCACAATCGGTCTCAATATCGTTTTCGCACCAGCGGGACACCGGGACACTGGCGAGACACCGGCGGGACACCGGCAGGACACCGCGGGCCACCGCTTGCTGGAGGGAGAATCATTTGGTCCGGCCGGGACCCAGCCACAAGCGGGACACCGGCGGGCCACCGCGGGCCACCGCTTGCCAGAGGGAGAATCATTTGGTCTGGCCGCGCCTCAGCCACAGGAGACGTTCCTCTCGCCCGCCCACGCAGCTTCGCCTCGCCCGCACGCACGGCACGCACGAACACGAAACCAAAACCGATTTCCCAGTGGGGGGCTCTCCATTCCACTTCGGTCTCACCCCCAACCTCAGATTTTCTGGGTTTTTGTGATCCCCCCCACTTCCCATCTTTCCCAATATGTTCTGGGGAATCGACGATTCATTGTGTCTGTGTGTATTATTCTTTTCTAAGCCCTGTAAAAGGCCGGCAAAGCCCCCAAAACGACGAACGACGACCAAATTGAGTTCCTTAAGGCATCGGAGAGGGAACAGAAAGGGGAGAAAGAGGAGGGAGGGAGGAGGAAGAGGAGAGGAAAGAAGGACGAAAAGGAGGCGAGTCATCCTCCTTCCTCCGCCGTCCTCCTCCTCCTCCTCATCCTCCACCTCCCTCCTGGGTCCTCCTTAAACTCCCCCCTCCCGCCTCCATCCTCCCTCGTCACTCCTAACTCCTCCCACATCCCTCCCGCTCCCTCCTCCCTGCTCTCCGTATTCCCGCCTCCCTCCTCCTGCCCCATCCCTCCCCCCTCCTTCCCAAACTCCCTCCTACCGCCTCCCTCCTCCCTTTTCCTCCCTCCTCCCACTGGCAACGTTTAATAACCTCGAAGAGCAATGTAAGTCACAGGCACTGGCATCGCCACTGATTCCTACTCCCGCTCCTACTCCTCCCGCCTCTGGGATACCACAGGGTACCGATACCGCTACTCTTAGGACCTCTCCCAGGGTGCGTTCTGACCAGGAGTTCGAGGCGAATCCAACGGTGACGACGAGGGCCTCCCAGGAGACGCAAAAAAGGCGAAAACGGAGGCAGGGGGTAGCGGTATGTTTACATGTTCGTCCTCCGACCTACTCCCACTCCGCGCACGTAGACAACATAGAGCTCGACAATATGTAGGTCGAGGCCGAACAGGCGCTGCCTACGATGAGCACGTGGACGTTGCTGCAGCCAACGCTGCAAGCTCCATAGCACTGATGCCTGCTCCGTCTCCTCCGACCTGCTCCTACTCCGGCTCCCCCTGCCTCCCTCCTCCCGCCTCCCTCCTGCCCTCGGGGATCATCTGACCCGGGTCAATCCAGACCCGGATCGAACAGGCCTTGGAGAATCCTGCAAGATCCTGCACCCGAACCCGGGTAACTGCGAAAGATCCTGCAAGATCCTGTAGGATCCTGCACCCAAACCCGGGTCAATGCGACCCTGGCCCTGCAGTATCCTGCAAGATCGGGCGCTCTGGCTGACCCCCGCTTGCCTTGACCCCCGTCTCTTGGGCCCCGCTGCCCTACCTCCGCGCCGGCCCCGGGCGGCGGGGAAGAGGGCGGCCCGCCTTCTGCGGCACGCCGGCTCGCGAGGGTGGGCGCGGGCCTTGCGCCCCCCCTGCCCCCCCCCGTCCCCCCAACGGCGGCGCCGCGGCGAGAGGCCGCGGGGAGGGGGGAGGAAGAAGAGGAGGGAGAGGAGTGGAGAAAAGGAATGGAGCAGAGAGAGCGGTCCCTTTTCAAGCCCTTTGAGGGCCGAAAGCGCCCCACCCCCATCCAGGCTGGAGCTGGGGGGGGGTAAAGATGGGAATACAGTCGAACCCAGGCCAGAAGAGCATCCCCCAAGAACACGAGACCCTCCGCCGGTTATGCTGAAGAGCATTCGAGGGTACACTCGAGGGTACCCTCCCCCAGGATGCACAAGAAAATCCAACAAACATGAAGAACACAGGGCACCCTCCCCGAACCGATCTCGATCTTATAGCCCAATTAACTCCACCGAAGAAACAAAGAAGCCGCGAGTTAGATACGGAAAACGCGGCAACCACTTCGCCGCTTTGGGTGTCACCGCTCAGAGGAACCCCTGTGCGCGGAGGGGGGGAAGAAGGGGAGGAGGGAGACGGAATTGCAAGAGGCGGAGGGAAGATTGAGGATGGGGAGAGAGGGATGGAGGAAAAGGGATGCTGGAGGAGGAGGTGAAAGGACGGAGGAGGGGGGGAAAGAGGAGGAAGAGAAGATGGAGGAGGGAAGAAAACGGAGGAAGGACGAAGGAGGACGGAAGTAGGAGGAGGAGGAAGGATGAAGGAGGAAGAGTGGAGGAGAGAAGGATGAAGGAGATGCAAAGATGAAGGAGCAGGAAAATAAGAGATGGAGAAGGAGGAGGCAGGGGAGGCAGGAGGGCCGCGGGGTCCGCCCTCCTGCCTCCTCCTCCTCCTCCTCCTCCTCCTCCTCCTGCACCTGCTCCTGCTCCTCCTCGCATGCACGCGCATTAAATGCAGTCGAGGGTCGCATGGAACACCGAAGAAGGATGGGCCAATTGTGAGACAGCGCTGTCGGCACCACGCTCCTTTTTCATCCTCCTCCTTCTCCTCCTCCGCCTCCTCCTCCTCTTTCCTCATCCTCCTCACGGGCAAGACCCTAGTGCATCTCGTGCCAGACATGCCCCTGCGACTTGACCCTTGCGCGGCCTGCTGCCCCTTAGACGACGATCCCCCCCCCAAGGAGTGCCCCAACTCTCCACCGGGATGGGCTGCCGCGTCCTCTTCTGCGACTCGGCGAACGCGTCGCTTATGCGGGTCGGGCCTGCGGGCCGCGAGGGCGACGACGACCATGGCGACAGCGACCTCGAGGACGCCGGCGACAACGCGGCGGCGACGGCGGCGTCGACGGCGACGACGAGGAAGACTTCGTTTCTCGGGTTCGCCGAAGACGAGGGGGAGAGGCTAGCGCGGCATGGCACGAGGTCTGTGCGCTGACAATGAGGGGGCCAGGGGACATTTTGAAAGCAGAGGAGAGGAGGAGGGCCATGAAATCTGGAAGATTCATGGACCAGGCCACGATATCCACACACCCATAGTCCCCATCGACGGGGCGAGCTGGGCACCCCCAGCACGCTCGGCGAGGCGCACCTGCTCGCACGCAGACTGGGGCGAGAGAAACCCTCCGAGAACAGATGAGAATTTTTAGCCCGCGCCCCCCAGGAGTCCTCGCAACTCAGTCTTCGAGGCCTCCGCACCACAGGAATGCAAGGGCCTTGGAAGGCCATGGCGACAAACTGCGAGCGGGGCGCGAAAGCGGCCAAGGACGGGCCGACGGGGCAGGAAGCAAGCTTCTCCTTGGAAAATCGCTCGTCCTTCCTGTGCGGCTTAACTGCAGGTGGAATTGGAGGATCTCGCCGCATCGCCGATGCATCGGCGATGCGGCTTGCTGTGGAGCCCGCCCCCCTCCACGCCGACGGCGCCGATGCATCGCAGCTGCGAGACCCGGGTCTTCGACGCCCCCGAGGCTCGGAGGCCTCCGGGCGGGCGTCTAGAGGCTCTCGCCGTCGCCGCAAGCGGGGAGGAGGATCAGTACAGATTGCTGGAGCGGGAACCAGCAACAAAAACACGAGAAGGAGGAGGAGGAGGCGAAGGAGAACGGAGGAGGAGGAGGAGGAGGAGGAGGAGGAGGAGGAGGAGAAGGCGGAGTTTTAGGACCAGTCCTCTTCACCGCCGAGAGAAAAGGGGGGGAAACAAAACTAAAGACCTTTAGCGGTTAGGTGGCTGGAGCGGGAACCAAACAACAAAAACGAACAACTTTGCGAGGTCCACGCGGGTTTCCTGGATCCGTGCTGGATCCTGCCGGTGCTGCCGTGAGGAACGCCGAGCGAGGGGCACAGGAACGAGAGGGCTTTTCTGGCTCAGCCTCGGTCACGAGCAGGGGCCCCGACCCAGATCCGGATCGGCGGTTCAACGAGGCCCTGGAGGATGAGGAGTCATAGGACAGCGACCTCGAACAGTGAAGGCCCCACTCGTGACCGACTGCTTCTCCTCAGGGCCTCGTCCCACGGGGCCCCGTCTTCGAACCGCCGACCCAAAGAACGACCCGAAATCGGGCGCAGTCCTCAGCCAGAAGCGCTCCGCATGTGCTGCAGCGTCCTCACCGTGAGCGCTCGTCGTCGGCGGCGCGAGGGGCCGCGAAGGCCGGAGACCCCGAGGGTCTCGCAGCCACCCTGGGGCTGCAGATTCGGCTCGCCCATGGCGCACGCCGGCGGCGCCAGGAGCCGCGAAGGCCGGAGACCCCGAGGGCCTCGCGGCCACCCTGGGGCTGCAGATTCGGGGGCGCGCCTGGCGCGCGGAGGCCGCGCCAGAGGCGGCGTCGGAGGCGCCGCGAGGGAGGTCCCGGCGCTGCTCCCTTCTTCGAGCGACCGCGCCCGTCGCCAGGCGGCCGCCGCGAGCCTCACGCCTGCCTCCCCAGCCACATCTCGGGCCCGGTGGAGCCCACGACGCCGTTCTGGAACAGCATCGCCACGATGGCGACCATCGCCAAGCGGCCGTTGGCGAGCTCGCTGTTCAGCTTCCTGGTGCGCTCCACCGGATCAGACGACGACAGGACCTTCCACCCGTAGTCGCCAGGCGTGCCTTTGAAACAAACAAACCAAGGTCAATGACCAAGAATGAACGCGGAAACAACGATGCCGATCTTGACCCCCGTCCATCTTGGTCACCGTCGGTTCGTGGATCGTCCTCGCGAATCGGCGACGGCCTGCATGGAACATGACCATGATCGGCGTCGCCAAGATCCCGCAACATCTCCATGAGTGTAAGCGTGTTTCTTCCCTCGATGCCTGTCCTGTAGTCTTCGAAGCCCCCAGACAGCTCCACAAATCCGAAATAGGCGACGATCTGGAACCAGCCCAGGGCAGGCACCTTCGAGACGGCCGCCAACCCGTTGGGTACGTCGGCGAACTTGAGACCGAGCTTCTCCGCTGGGCACTTCGACGCACTAAGGCCCATCTTCATGCACATCGACGGGGACAAGTACCCTGGGAGCTTCCCCGCGATCTCAGGAGTGATGTAACCCATCGTCGCCAGCATTGCGATCCGACCATGCTTCAGCTCAACAGACCGGCGGCGCTTGAAGGAGAAGAGGTCACCATCCGCGGTGAACCCTGCAGGGTCCCAGAATCCCGTGGGCTCCTGCCAGAGGCCCTCTAAATAAGAAGGGAGTAACCCAGGTCGGAAGATCGCGCCGCATCGCCGATGCATCGGCGACGTCGAGATGGAGAACATTGAGGTCCAGACAGCGCCAAAAGACTGAGATCCGACGTCCACAAAAAATCAATGAAAATCACAATTGGACCCCTAGACCCAAACGCTGTGAGGCATTTCTCAAGCCGAATCCACCTGGGAGGGCCCAAGGCCCGAAACCAGGCGAGAACGCCCAGAGTGCCAAAAACGCAACGCCCGGATCTCAGGGATCGCCGACGCATCAGCGATGTGGCGCGATCCTCTGGCACAATCTGCTTGGGGGGGCAAATCCAAGCGCCAAACCCGCTGCTGTCGCATGGCATTCAGCGGTCGCGGGACCCCAGTGACTGCACCGGCAACAAGACCGAAAGGTCACTCTGGCACAGCATCACCCCTCGCTTCCTCGCCGTGCGGCTTCCGGATCAGAACCCAAGTCCTTGGCGGCCGAGCGGGACGCTGCGGGCACCCCCGAAACGTCGTCCGCGAGGCGCAGCTGCTGCACCCCTGGGTCCTGAAAACCTCCAGGAGGGGTAAATAAGGCTTCGGGTTGCGCACACTGCAGCCCCCCTCACAGGTAGCCCCGGCTCAACAGGCCCCCGGAGTCGTCCAGGGCGGTCTCAACATCTCAACCCTGAAGCACGGAGCGCCCCAGAGGCTCCGCCAGAGGCGGCGCCAGGGTGTTGAAACCGCCCCATGCGACAAAGGGGGCCTGTTGAGACCAGCCAGGACTAGCTGGGGGGGGCCCTGTGCGCGACCCGAAGCTCTACCACACGTGGAGGCATGAAACCCTGAAGGTGCAACTGCCCGCACCGAAGGTCACTCCTACGAAGGGCCACTCTCCAGCGCAGCCAGATCTGGGGAAGCTCGGGCCCGACGGGCGCGTCCTGGCGAGGGTCCCCAGAGGCCGGAGAGAAAGAGCAGCAAACACACCTCGTGATCTTTGCCACGACGCGAGGGGGTCTGGGAAGGTCACTCCCGCCAAGGGCCATCCTCGAGCGTAGACAGACATTTGGGGAGGCCCGGATCCTGGGCGCCCAGCTCGCTCTCGAAGGCGGCGCGCCCAGCCGAGGCGCGCGGCCCCCGCGGGAGCTCTGGGCGCGGCCGGCCAGAGACCCCCCCGAAGGCGGGCAGGGACGAGCTCAGGACGAGGCCCCCAATCCATGTCAGCGCGTACTCCCGATTCTCAGAGGGCGGGCGAATCCGAATCCCCAGAAGTGGCCTGGAGGCCTCTCAGAAGGCTCCCTGCGGAAGCCGAGCGGGCCTCCGGGGGGTCCCCTGCCCCCTTGGAGGCCCCCTCGCCTCCCCGGACATCCTCCGACATGATGTCAATCCGCGGCAGCGGCGGCCGCGGCAGCGGCGGCCGCGAACCTCCCGACCGCTTCCCCCAGGCCAGGGGTAGTTCCGTGCTCCGGGTCCATTTGTGATAACATGGCGAAATCGCCTGAAGGCTCGCTCGCTGTGTCAGCATCGAACCGAATGCCGCAGCAGCGGTGAGTGCACAGGGGGCCCACTGCACACGCAACAACACCGCTCGACGCTTTCACAGCCAGGGCTTTGAACGTGACACCGCTGCTTGACGCATTCACTTGCCAGGGCAGTTCTTGCCAGGGGTGGCCCAAAGGCAGGCAGGGACAAAATCAGGGCGAGAATCCCAAACATCCTCCGATATGATATTTTTCTGTCCGCGGCCCCAACAACTCCCGACCCCTTCCCCAGGGGTAATTTTGCCCTCGGGTCCAGATCTGACGGTCCCGGGTCCCGATATCGGAACCCAAAGGCAGAAATCGGAAGGACAAATGCAAGGATTGAGTTATCATACCGTCGGAGATGGCAGGGACAGAATCAGGACGATAATGATTCCACGATGAAATGAACTCAGGATCCCAGATCTCCGAGCACATGAACTTTTCAAGTCGGGCGCTGCTCCTTCATGTCGGCCCCTGGGGCCCGTCAGCGGGCCCGGGCACAATCAACAATAGATCGGGGAGGAACAACTTGCACGGGGGAAGGGGTCGGGGGAGAGCTCTGGGGCCGCGGATTGAACAAACACCTCGGAGGATGTCCAAGGGGTTGGCCCAAAGACGGGCAGGGCCAAGATCAGGGCAAGAATGATGCGATGACCCTGAGATCTGGGCGTTGCATGTTTTCTCGCAAGGCGTTTTCGGCCACTTGCAGGCCCTGGGGACATCACAGGTCGATCTGGCTCGACAAATACCGGAGAAAGATGGGGTCCATACCTCTGGTCGCAATATCTCGCGAAATTGCCACTTTAGCCCCAGCTGGCCTGAACAGGCCCCCCGAGTAGTCCACGGCGGTATCAACACCCCAGGGGCGCCGCCGTAAGCGGCGCCAGGGTGTTGAGACCGCCTCGGAAGATCTGTTGTTCTCAGATGCGATTGGCACAGGATACGCTCTGGGCGATCCAGAGGTTCTAGCGGCCCTCGGCCATTCGCACTCGCCCCTCCGGCCGCGCAGAGGACACCAAGAAGTTCGGCGGCGAGCCTGGGGCGGAAGCGAGAAGGGGCGGTCATTCCATAGGCTCGGAAGTCCCCATCCTTCTGAGAAGTTTTCTGGGCCTTCCTCGAAGACACAGAAAACGTATCCTTCTCACGTCTCCCCCTCGCTCGCCGCCGAACCAAGAAATGCGAGGCGGGGACTCAATCATGATGTCCATCACGCTCGGTGCACCCTCAGTGGCCCTTGGGCACCGGACTGCAAGGCACCCCCCGGGGACCAGGGGTCCCCCCCTCCCCCAGCTCACAGGGCCCCCATTGGGCTGCAGGTCCCCCCAAGGGTTCCATGACCACCCCCCCTGGGGGGAGTCTTCCATCC